TTTATAAATACATGTTGTGAATTTATCAATTTTTTTTTCGCTCAAACTGTGAAACAGATTTACATGAAACTTTATAATCTTCATTCCTCTCGATCGTGGATCATAAGATGGAGGCGGATCCAGATTTCAGGTTTTTTGGGGAGCGGATGTGTGTGTCCGGAGAACATTAATGTGAACTAAAAATTACCAATATCCAATAAGATTAATTGATTAAACTATAACTGTCATGTTGTAAATTTTAAATACTCAGCATAAGATTATATTCATGTACATTTACATATACAAAATTTAGAATAATCAAAGTATTTGTTTCGATTAATGACAACATTTGTCATTCATCAAGTCTGTGTGTCGAGTAATTGTTTGTAAAGTTTATCAAAACTCTCAGTTTTTTTGTATATTGCTTTTTATTGAGAATGCAAAATTGTTCAAACAGGACTGAGTTGATTGCGATCGAAAATATCTTTTTTGAAACAAAATAAGTTTATTGATATCATTCATCTTTTTAAAGTCTTGCTGATTGAATACGTAATAATGTGCATGTTTAAAAAAAACCTGAAGAATGTAGCAAAATCTACCAAAATAGTACACGTACTGTCATATATTGTAAATTTTATATTTACTGCCACCCGGTAAATTCATAATGTACAACATATGACAACTTGAATTTACCGGGTGGTAGTAATTCAAAATTTACACCATGACAGCAGATGTAGTACTTTGGTAGAATTTGTTACATTTTTCCATAAAAGTGTAGTTCAAGGGAGATATACACTGTCCCTCTAACCCCTTCCCCTTTTCCATACACCAGGCGACTCAGCTGCAGAACTGATTAACCCCCTTCCCGGGAATCACGCATTTTAACGCGTCTATAACTTTATTTTTAAGGCAAAATTACCCATATACCCTTTCTCCGCAATTAAGCATTTTTCACGAACTTTCAAAAGTGTATTTAATCTTAAATTTAATGCCAGTTCCCTTCTATTTCATACTTGCTAGAATCTCATAAGATAAGAAAAGTTATAAACTTTTTTGAAATATTACGTCTTAATTATTTAAGCTAAATTTGAGAGAAACTTGTACTGCGCTATAGAGTGCTTATTGGGAAAAGATAACGTCACACTTCTATGACGTTAACATTAAGTGTATGGTGCATCAGTAAGTTGTAAAGAATTATCAATTTGCATAACGTACTATGCAAAATTGTTAATCTACGAAGTGATAATGTTTTAGCCAAAAATGTTGTCGTATTCATCAACAGTATGACTGATTTATCAAGTTTGTTGCTCACAATACTGTACAGTTCCCATGCGCGGATCTAGAGGGGGGGGGGTCGGGGGGGTCAGGACCACCCCCCTGGAATTTGCAAGGTTAATAAATTTATATACTAAAGCAAGAAAAATAGAGACCTTGGACCCCCCCCCCTGGAAAACGCAGACCCCCCTGGTAAATGTGTAAAATTGGTATGTTGGTATGAAAAGTCAATTGTGTGAAGCATTAGAAGTAATGGTATAACCCCCCCCCCCCCCCCCCCCCCCCCGAAATAGGTTTTTAACGTTTGGGCGAGTTGAGATTTTTTTTTTTTTTTTGCTTGTCAAGAAATTTCTTGGATTTTTTTTTGGACTAGGGTGGACCCCTCCCTGGAAAAAGTTCCTGGATCCGCGCCTGGTTCCTGCGTTTGGTCACATAATGTAAGTAAAGCAACAATTAGGTAAAAATAGGTACTTTGGGTAAGCTTAAATATCTATCAATAGATACGTAGGAAGAAATAATATTAATGGATTTGACCTGTTAATAATAAAAAAATCACCAGATGATCACTTGAAGGTAGATTACATTAACAATTGTAATATTTTGAATGTCACAATAATTTCATATTCATTTAAGCACTTCTTCACATCGTTATTAAATTTACGTGTGAGAAATTGATAGACTAAGTATGACTGTGTGTATCTGCTGTTGTGAAAAATGAAACATGCTCTATCATTTTCTGCACATTAAAAAATTTTCACACCTCTTTTAAATTTTTAATACTGGGGTAAACTATTTCACAACACCAAGAACAACAAAAATAATTTAGTACAATGTTTTAAAAACATGAACAAACCCCATTTATTTTCATAGCACCACAAGGTATTTATTTTTACCAACCACGTGTAGGCATGTAAATAAAGGGCGATAACTAAATGAATATGATTTAAAACGTTTCTCGATTCAAGTGTTTAAGGTGATAGAATTTGAAAAATAAAGACAAATTGGATTACATTTTATGTGGAAAAGAATGTTAAAGTGAATAAAGGCAAATAAAATGAGCTGTTCTTACATTAAATGCTTAAGTCCAAAAACAAACATCTAGTTCCTGTCTAAATCTTAAAGGGATTGATGTAGATCTCGTCCAGTCTGGAGCCAGGTCTCCTTAGAGGTCAAATCGACCCCCCTGTACTATGCTACATTTGACAGCGATAAAGAATATCAGCAGCTCAACAGGGGAGACAAATTAAGCCCCTGTTCTAAAGATGTTGACCTGCTCGCTTGTCAAAGTAAAGATCTTCGTGCTGTCGCATACTCTCAAGTTTTTTTTTTCAAAAATAAGTATTAGTTCGAGTTTTGAAAATATCTAAATTTAAAAAAAGGGATGATTAATTGTTGGCGAAACCGTTGCTCATGAAACAGAAACAGTTACCAATAATTTTGATAAAATTTTAATTGGAAATGGAAACTGAAAGTTTTTATCTCAAAACATGTCTATTTGGCTAGGGATCATTCTCACAGTACAATGGGTCCTGAAGTAGGGTCACTGGGCATTTGTTTGGTGATAATGTTTTAACCTTAGGTATAATTATATGTTGTTATTATTATATACTATGGGTTAAAAGTTTATTTCCGAGACAAGTGCCTGAGATGAGGGGCACATGGGTATATTAATAACGTTTACCAAGCATAGAAGTAAAATGAAACTTTTTGATTCACTTTCATTTCAGAGTTCTCAACAATGTCCCGAATAAAGTTATAAAAAGAAGTTTTACAAAGTGAATAAAAACATCTACAGTTTTAAATATGTAAACAATTAAATCAATTGTTGTATTTCATTTTATTTATGTTGAATGTTTCCCTAACACCGTTCTTGGTTGAAAATTATTAAGAATATAAACAAGTCATGTACATAACATAAAAAAGAATGACTGTCACATTAGATATATGGTAGATTATATAGCATAACCAATAACGGCCGATCAAAGTTTGACATAAAAATATATGGAAAAACTGTTCCTCTCAAAAATGCAAAGCCTTGATGGGTCATATTTATACGGAAAGCTTCTCAGGTAGTGTAGCTTTATAGATTCAAGTTTGTCAAAATCATGAGCTCTGGGGATAGGTCGGGCCACAATGACCGATCAAAGTTTTACTTAGGAATATATAGGGAAAATATTTCAAGGACATCAAAGCCATAATTGGTCACATTTAGGTGGGCCGGGGGGAGGGGGGGGGGTGAGGGGGTCACAATGTGAGTTCAAATGTAAACGGCAATAAAACCACAGGTAGCCAAAGAAATATGCAAGCATCCTTAGTGTAGATTCAAGTTTGTTCAAATCATACCCTCTTCCCTATACAGATTGTTTGGGACCACTTTTGGGTTTAAACTTTTTCGTAATAAACTGATTTCTGATTTTTCTTCGCCACATGTGACGTATGTGACCCATGGGTCTCTTGTTGAATGTTTAGTGTAAATATTATTTACCTCATTTTTTTTATTTTGATCTTTCCTTTGACCTTGCCCTCACTTTTTATATTATAGTATTTAGCTTCGTTTTAAAGAAACCACTGAAGATAGGGTAATCAAACTTTATATACCGATACATACTGAAGTATGTTATTCGACTACATCAACATTTTACATTGACCTTGACTACATTTTTCTTAAATTAGTGTTTACCTCAGTTTAAAAAAAACATTCAAGATAATTTTTTTTCTCAAATTTCATAAATTGATTGATTGATTGATTGTATACTGTTTAACGTCCCTCTCCAGAATATTCATAAATTGACACAATATTGATGAGAGCTATTCAATTGCATTGACATGTATTCACCTTAACCTTTCCTTTGACCTTGATCTCATTTTCTTGAATTAGGGCTAAGCTCAGTTTTAGATAAACCTTTCAATATTTTTTTTTTGAATTTGATATGCTAATACATATCAGCGATGGCTATTCAACTGCATCAAAAAGTTTCTTATTACTATGACCTCACTTTTCTTTGATTTGCATTTTACTTAGTTTTAAAAAAGCATTTCCGTGTAAGCTTATGCACTGGAACATAATTTGGTGAGAATTAATGATCTACAGTCAACTTTTTAGATTTCAATTTTAAAGCAGGTGTTCAATATTATTCTCATCAAATTTCATACACTAATATAAATGTTCATGTTGCAAAACTAGTATACCCTCAGCGGAGCATTCATGTCCTATGAACATATTTTATTTATCTCTATGTACCGGTATATCCTAAATGATAAAGCGGTATCAATAGATTGAAAATTTTGGATAGGTTTATGAGCAAATATCTCAAATTAAGCTTTTTAGTTATCTGTGAAATGCATGTTACAGTATGTCTAACAATTTTTTTTTTCTTACGATATTTTTAAATCCACCTTATATCTAGAGATCAGATTTTTAAGATTAAGTCAGTGATCAGGACTCTAAATAATAGACTGAGAACAAAATGATATTTTCAATATCTTGAGTTTGATTTAACAAATATACGTTTAAAAAAAAGGATTATGTATTGAATAATATGCCGAAAATTTTGTCTCATTATAAAAGATATTTTAAAAGTTAATTAGATTTGAAATTTTGACTTATGAAGTTTGTTCTCAATTTATGGTTTCTTATTGACCAAGTTATGCTTTTCATGGATTTATTTGTGTTGATCAAGGATTTGGTTGTGTTGATCAGGGATTTGGTTGTGCTGATCAGGGATTTGGTTGTGTTGATCAGGGATTTAGTTTTGTTGATCAGAGATTTGGTTATGTTGGTGATTGACTGATTTAACTTCAACCGTGTCTGGGTTGTGTTGGTCAGTGACTGGGATATGTTGTTCAGTGACTGGGATATGTTGTTCAGTGACTGGTATATGTTGTTCAGTGACTAGGTTATATTGTTCAGTGACTGGTATATGATGTTCAGTGACTAGGTTATATTGTTCAGTGACTGGGATATGTTGTTCTGTGACTAGGTTATATTGTTCAGTGACTGGGATATGTTTTTCAGTGCTTGGGATATGTTGTTCAGTGACTAGGTTATATTGTTCAGTGACTGGGATATGTTGTTCAGTGACTAGGTTATATTGTTCAGTGACTGGGATATGTTGTTCAGTGACTAGGTTATATTGTTCAGTGACTGGGATGTGTTGTTCAGTGCTTGGGATATGTTGTTCAGTGACTAGGTTATATTGTTCAGTGACTGGGATATGTTGTTCAGTGCTTGGGATATGTTGTTCAGTGACTAGGTTATATTGTTCAGTGACTGGGATATGTTGTTCAGTGACTAGGTTATATTGTTCAGTGACTGGGATATGCTGTTCAGTGACTAGGTTATATTGTTCAGTGACTGGGATGTGTTGTTCAGTGCTTGGGATATGTTGTTCTGTGACTAGGTTATATTGTTCTGGGCTTGGTAACCGTGACTTTTGTATGTTCAAACGTGACTGGGCTATGTTTCTCAGTCACTTGGACATGTTGTTTAGTATCTTGATTACATTGTTCAGTGACTGGTTTATATTGAGTCGTGACTGGCTTATGTTGTTTAGAAACCTGGCTATGTTGAATCGTGATTGGGTTATGTTGCTTAGAGACTGGGTTATGTTGTTTAGAGACTGGGATATGTTGAACCGTGATTGGGTTATGTTGTTTAGAGACTGGGTTATGTTCAGTAATTAGGATATGTTGTTCAGTGACTGGGATTATGTTCAACCGCTACTGGGTTGCTTTAGAGACTTGGTTATGTTGAACCGTGAGTGGGTTATGTTCTTAATAGACTTTGTTATGTTGTTCAGTGACTGGTATATGTTCAACTGTGACTGGGTTATGTTCAACTGTGACTGGAATATGTTCACAGAAGTATAATTGCATCAGGATTGCATATGTGTTCCATTACAAAAAATCATACGGAAGATAATATTCCTGGAAACCGTGACTTGGTTATGTTATAGACTCTACCTAGATATATACTTATAGGGAGTAAGAGTAAATGGCAATTAATTCCTCCCTCAAAGAAGATTACAGGCAGATGCCAAGTTTTTAGGGAGCGGGAGGGATATGTGTGTCCAGAGTACATCAATACCCATGTCAAACTGTTACCTACGTCCAGATGATACACTATATTATGAACTATAACTGCTATGTTCTTCATTTTGAAATTGGATCATAAATGTTTACGTACCTGTATTTTGGATTGAAATATATAAACATGCATTTTGGATTGGATTATTTATACATATACATGCACATCTACAAACTTTAGATCATGACGTATTTATTCATAACAGTTATTGTATTTTTTTCGATTAACACAAATGTACACACAATTCATCAATTTAATATACAGTTCGCAGTAAATATTTTTTTAAGAAATCGATGTCTAGCTAGTAGAGTATGCCAAGTCATCAACGATAGTTGGATACGTGGGATACTGTAAACCGACTTTTATTCGCGTGTGAGAAAGTTTCGTGAGGTTCGCAAGGGCATCGTCATTGCGAATATTTCTCTAGTGAACTGGTCCTGAAAGTTTCTTTTGTATTAACAACAGATTCAAAAAAGGCTTTATCGCGAAAATTAATCGTCGCGAACAAGTTTACTCCCGGTAAATCGTGAAATAAAGTCGTCGCGAATAAAAGTTGGTTTACAGTAATTTGCATAAGGAGTGAAAACAGTGTCTTACATATTTCTATTTCTATGCGAAATATATTTGTAAATTCATATTTTAAGAATCTTTTCAAATAGGTTTATATGTAAGCCTCCATTGTCAATTTCATTAGTCTCCGACCACTGACGTCCAATATAAAGACAGCCGCACAAGATTTACATGCATATTAGGCAACCTTAGCTCCGGATCTATCGCTTGGCGAAATTAACATTCCGGTATAATGATCAAGAAATATACTCCACTAAAGAGTTATCACCGAAGCTTTATAACAGACAAAACAAATAGAAATGGAAGTATTCCTTGAACAATAACAAGCAAAATACTTTAAATAGGACTGAGTTGCTTGCGATCTCAATCTACCTCTGTAATTGAAAATATCAGTTTTGAAACAAAATAACTTCATCGAAATAATTCATCTATTTAAAGTATTGTTCATCATATACATAATGCATGGTTGAAAAAGACTTCAAAAAGGTGGCAAAATCTAACAAAAAATGAAAATAAAAAATACCTCTTTCTCCTACTGATCCCATCAAGAGGTTTGCAAACTCCCCCTCCCCTTTCCCGAATCTTTTTCCCTTCTTCTTAATGCGATTCAAATAAAATTTGGGCTTGGGCCTTTTTAAAATATATATTACAGAGTGCCTGGTGTCATCTTCGGGTGCTAATCGTTGTTCTGTGATAAACACTAAGATACTTATTCTATTGAATACTACTGAGTTAATTCGCTAATGTTCAACAGTTTTGAATACATGTACCGAAAAATTATCTTTTTGAAATGGATAGCTTTTCGGTAGTTATTAATTGGATATTAAATCACGTCATGATATATGTGGTGTTTGAATTGAGGAATTCTGAAACTTCATACAATTTAATATTTTTTGTGACTGACATGAGGAAAACTATGCAGTCAATTGAAATTATAACTAATCATTATTATATATATTATCAATTGTTTTGTATTTTAATTTATTCTATAATAAAGTTTTTTGAAAAAATATTCTGTGAAGTTTTGGCAGCTTTTTTTTTCTTTTTAAAAAAGAAGTCTTTACAGTTGTTTTTTTTTTCTGAAGGCACAAATTACAGTTACAGTGTGTCTAGTTATTTAACTTTCATATTAAATTGTTATGTTTTTATATAATAAGAACATAAAAATCTGTTTTAATGTGTTAAAACATGTTTGATTTTTTAGCTCACAAGTATCTAGATTCTAAACACTTTCTCATACATGTTTAGAAATTTACATGTTTAGGAAATATCTGCACGAAACATCCGGGTGGCTCAGACACGGCTCGGGCACGGATTCCGTTCCCAGAAACCCGTGATTATAGCATTCCTGCTTCTATGTAAAATATACATATGGGAAGCCGGGCCTAAAATATGTCGCGGCACGGACACTGCACGGGATATTGTCCGAATTAATTAAAATATTTCTCAATTTGTAAGAAAATTCGTGTCAGAAAGCCTAGTTTCCATATATGAACTCACGAATTCTTAAAACCTGTGTCAGAAACCCATGTCCTTTTCCATAGATGGAGAAACGGAATTTTGGAAACCCGTGTGAAAAAAGCCGTGCCGTATACCATATATGGAGTCACGGGATCTGTGCATTTGTCTAGATCTAGGTCAGGACCTTTATAGATAATCTCCTGATGTAACTGTGGATGCCAAAAAGAAGACTGAAACTAAACTAACTTCACAATGTTTCACATTTATGTCAAAAATCTTATTTGAAGGTGTCTTTTTACTTACTTTCTGTTAAAGATATGTATGCCGTGTTAAACAAAATGTTTGCACAGCTGAAACCGAACAAAAATTTCTGAAGTATGATATGCTATCAAAAATGAAGCATTCTTGCAAATTCGACGAAATATTATTCGGTATTAACAAAGTAAACATGCATATTTATAAAGGACTGACGTTTATCCTGGATCTGCGCATGTGCGCGGGAAAAGCATCGCGAGAATCATCAGGTCGAGGAAAATATTTTTTGTGACGTCTGTTCATTGAGAAACCAATATGACTGACAAATCGACAAATCAGCTCAATGAGTTGCATTTAATGCATTTATGGATTACTACATAAAATACCACATGTGTTTTTCGAAAAGGCTAGTTTTTTATGATGGAAAGCATTTACACGCTTAATGCTATTATCTACTAATTGCTCAATTTGCATACAAATGATTAACAATGATAAAAATTAAAGTTTTCCCCACTCCATTGTACAGGTCCTTTTGTTTAGAGTTTCACCGTGCTGTACTGCTAGTGAAAAGACAATTGCACGTGATTATTCCTGTGTACAAAACGCAACCAACTCTGAGGTGAGCTCACGTATTGAGAATCCCTAACTCACGTGTTTGTAGTAAAAACGTAGTAGACCATCATGCTTTTCGGTTCATTCACTAGTTTACCATTGTTTGCTATGCAAAACTACGTGATCATGAATATTTCAATAAGAGGCGGTTCATTATCCGACTCGGAGAGAAAATAATTTTTACCAAATAACATTTCATAACTTTTAAAAGTGATGGAGTGCAACTGTCTTATTTGCAGAGAGTATATAACTTATATAACTTGGTTAGATACCACATATATTTATCTCTTTTAAAATAAAACACTAATACGGCATATATATCTTTAAAGATTTACTTGTTAAAAACCATGCTAATTTTTAAGTTAGGATTTAATGATAATGTACAATTCATTTATAATTTTATCTAGCTAAACATTCTGAAAATTGAAAAATTGACTTATTTATTTTATACTACACTTAATGCATATAGTTCAAAAGTGATTAAATCATCCAAGACTGACATGAATAAGTTGTATGTCTACATCATAAGATTGCATTTTGCATCTACAATGTCAGATAGCGGCGTTAGTAAGTATATTTACTCATATTTAAATTATATTATCTTAAAAGATTGCTAACTTGTGTGTCAACATAATTAACTTGCATGTTGGCATAAATCTGTTGCATGTCTACATGATTATGTTGCATGTTAACATAATTTATCTTGCATGTAGGGGGCAGATATTTGCCATCATACTAGTCCAATAATATGAATAAATTAAACCATAACTACAAATTATTTAATTTTAGATGTAACACGTAATTTGATTGGGTGAAAGATTTATTAATCCATTTCGTATAACATGAATTGAGTAACGTCAAATACGTATTAGTCCGATTGCCGCTACTTTTAAAATATGCTTAATTTGAAGCCTTTTTCTGGAGGAAAAATTGTCTTATCATGTACACTGAAATTACATTATGAGAAATGAAACTTATTTCAACCTATGTTATAAGATATAAAGGGTGTTAAGAAAGTTCGTTCCACATTTTTCTTTTATTTTCAAAAAGAAATACGACGGGAAGATATTTACAATTTGGGATATTTCATGTTTACAGAGTGTGTTCTTGATACTGATAAGGTTTTAACTGTCTTTCGTTGAATCAATAAGGGGAGGGTAGGTATTAAAACAGATGATGTCTGTTCAGAAAAATTATGGATGATGCATATTTTTTACATATATTCAACACGCAGGTCAAAACATCCTTTCAAATACTATGCAAAAATTATCAAATCTGTAAAATATTTCAAAATGTCAAACCTATTCTTTTGAAAAAGTAATATATCATTCTTATACCTACGCCAATCAGCTTGTCTGATGCAAAATAAGCTATTAAGAAACAAAAGTATATCATCCTCAATTTTCATTCAAAATGACCAGCATTTCTATCATTCGGGTGCTTTAAAGATGTTATACATATTTTCATATGGAAGAAAAATCTTATAATTTCCTGCTAGAAAAGATTTGCTATAAATCTAAAGCACACTCTTGTGATTTTGTCAGACTTAAAAATTTACCTTTTTAATTACGCACTATTTTGAAATTTTTGAAAATATTTCATCCCGGAAACGAACTTTCTTAACACCCCTTAACATAACTTGAGACATATTACGTTTTTTTATAATCCGCTTCGCGGCTTATAAAGCATAAACTGCCCCAGGGTATGGTAATCGTATAACATAAGTTGATATAAGCTTCCTTCCTTGATTGCCATGTTCTAAATTTTGAATACTCTGAATTAGATTATGTATACATGTACATTTACATATACAAAATTAATAACATGATGTATGTATAAATAACAAAGTATTTGTTTCAATTAATGTAAAAAATTGTCATTCATAAAGTCTGTGTGTAGAGCAATTGTTTGTAAAGTTTATTAAAACTCACAGTATATTGCTTTTCATTGAGAATGCAAAATCGTTACAAAAGGGTTAAGTTGGATACGATCGAAAATATCTTTTTTTGAAACATACTTGATTTCATACTGTTTAAAGTTTTTTTGATTGAATACTTAATATACACGTTCAAAAAACTTGACAAATGTAGCATAATTTACCAGAAA